CTTTGTCCGTGTGGCAGCTGCATATCTTTCACAGACATTTGAAAGCCTTGCATTGACTAGTTAGGGGACCAGCCTTCTCCCCCTACCCCCCAAAGAGTGAAAGTCAGTCATTTTGGGTGTTCTTGAAGTTGGAATTAGCAGAATGGAAAAGTGGGCTGAATTTAGGTAGTTAGGCAGTAAATAACTCTGCCCCCCTGCATTCCTGAGACACTCATCCTAGCCCCACACCTCTGACCCAGTGGGGTCCATACTGGTTCATTCGACCCTGGGATAATAATAATGTGTGTTTCTATAATTCTTTAAGGTGTGCAAAATACATTCCTTACAACTCTTCAGTGTATCAGGTACAAAAACCACTATCCCCATTTTAAAAATAAGAGAACCGAGGTTGAGATTTGCTTAATGCCTCACTGGTACCAAGAAAGCTGGAATTTGAACCCAAGTCTTCTGATTCCCAGGTCCACAAATCTCCACTGCACATTGCCTTCTAGAGTGGGGAAACACTTTTGGCTGGGCAGGGACTTCAGAAAGCAGCTCTAGTTAGAAGAGGAGGTGTAACTACGGGTGTTTAAAAAAAAAAAAAAGACAAGACCTGAACTTTAAGAAACAAAAAACAGACGAGCCATAACAAGCTTCACTGATTTTTATTATATTCCTCCCCATCTCCTCAAAGAATCAAGAGGGATTTTTGCTTGTTTGTTTTTCAAAGAATTTTTGGATTTTCTTCCAGGTGACAGTTTCCAGGATGTTTACTGGTATGAAAATACACTCATTAGGGGGTAGAAACAAAATTCTATACCTCCTCCCTAACTTATCCTTAATACAGTTACTTTATTTCTGTAATTTCTCTTTTTAGAATTTCTCCCTTAATGCTTTTTAGCTTTAAGTGTTCTACAAGAGTCTGAGCATAAACCCTTTTCTTTTTCTTTTTTTTTCTTGGAGTGACACTTGGTTGTGGTATGACTTCCTGATACGCAGTGCATAAGGATTCTTTGATTTCCATATCCTTCTAAGACAAGCCTTTTGTGGATTATTTTTTCGTTGAGAGCTGCCCTCGATGACCACTTTAACCTGACTTCACATATGTGAAATGTTTTGGAAAATTGTGTGTACACTGACTTTACTCATGTCTGGGGAACCCCACCTAGAAGTTATCCCTAAGCCTGCACGCCAGGGAATGCTGAAGAGAGCTGTTGATGTTGATATATATTGCTGTCCATTCTAGCTCTCCAGCTATGGCTTCTCTGACGTCCCCTCCTCCTGGTATGACCAGGCTTCTCGCATGACTGCCTTCCTTTGTGGGCTTCTGCTCCTTACAACCCTGCCTCTTTTTCAAACTCCCTCCTATTCCCAGATTTAGCCTCCATTTTTAAGTTCCTCCCCTTCATAAATCTCCTTCTTCAAAAAGTTTTCAGGCAACCTAACAATGCCCAGGCCTTTTTTTTTTCTTTTTCCAGTTATTCTGCCAAAATTTGGGCTTGCCTAGAGGGCCTCTCCTATAGTGAGGTGGTCTTTTTGTGGTTAAGTTCTCTGTATTTTTATAGCAGTTAGCACTTCAGCCAGTTGGCTACCATTGTTGTAAAACTGAGCACTTGAATTTGAATTCCGACGTTAATGCTTACTAGCTGTGTGACTACTGGTACCCACAGTTGCATTTTCTATAAAAAGGAGATAATAATACTTGCACTGCCTAGTTCATGGGGTCCTTGTGAGGAATGGTCCTCTGTAAGCCTTAAAGCAGCTAGATGGCTCAGTGGGTGAAGCGCTGGGCCCGGCAGCAGGAAGACCTGAGTTTAAATCCGGCCTCAGATACTCACTACCTGTGTGACTCTGGGCAAGTTACCTAACTCTCGTTTGCCTTAGTCCACTGCAGAAGGCAATGACAAATCACTCTAGGATCTTTGCCCCCAAAAACTCCCTGGACAATATTGGTGGACTGTGGTGCACGGGGTCACAAAGAGTAGGACATAACTGAACAACAGCAACTTTATAAATGTAAGGCTTTATTACTCTCAGTGATGAGGTCAGGCAGGCAGGAGTGCTTGAGGCAGATGGAGCTGGCAGGATGCAGGATGTGAGATATGAAATAAGATGCAGGGTGCGACCAGCCAGAAAAGGGATCAAAGAAGACTGTGCTTTGAAGCCCCGCACTGTGCTGTCACAAAGCACCCCTGATTCCAGAACAACTCTTCCCCTCCCCTCTCCTGTTCTCTTTGCTTATCTGTGTGATAAAGGCAACTCTGGACTACCTGATATCCCAGGCATTTCAGAGCCATGCTCCTCCCATTCTGTCATCCCCCTTCCCCATATTCCATAAAATTGTATTTAAACCAGATACCAAACCAGTAACCGCTTTTGCCTCCCATGGGAAGCAGGGCACTCTGTTCCCTTAGGGGACCATAGGGCATATGTGCTCTCCCTTGTGTGGAAGCAGGCCTGCTTGGGTGCGTCACCCCAATAAATGCCTTTCTTTAACTTGGAGAACTGGCTGAGTGAATTTCTTTAAGGACAATAGAACCCACATGTCTGTTCCTCATCATTTCTGGTGGCAACCCCAACATTCTCGGGGTACACACTGAATTCATCAACAAGAATGACAGAATCTGATTTGGCTTCTGAATCATAGGATCACAGAACTAGAACTGAAGAAGACCTTAAATCTAGTCATCTAGTCTAACTTCCTCATGTTACAAATGAGGAAACTGAGGCCCAGAGAGTTGACGTGTCTAAGGTTACACAGGCAGCAAAAGGCAGAGCTGTGATTCTTCTGTTAAGCTGAACTCTGGATATTCCACTTCTCATAAGCATGTATGAATATATGTAAGGCCCCCTTCATTTCATATAATTGATATATTTGTCAGAGAATTTGTTCTAAATTAAGTCATTTTAAATGCAGCCAGAATGTTCACTGGAATCCTGAATTACTCTTTTATTTTATAGTAGGGAACCATCCCCTGACTCTATATTCATACCAGGTTTGTTTAAAGCAAGGTCCTCCCCATATGTAGTTACTTCTTTCAGCTCTGTACAGAGGTAGTGATATAAATTGTTACAGACCAGAGAGCTGTGCCGCCTCAGACACCAGATAGCCAGCCAAGCCTGGTCAAGTTAGAATTACTGGATGTGTGATGTGTGTGTACATATTTTTACTGTGCAATAAGAGCAGGCAGGGCTGTCTTGCTCCTCTTTCTCGACTGAAGACAGAGCTCCTCTGAGTTGCTGCAGATTTGGATTATTACAAGAAAGGTAGTAACAAAGTCAACTTTACCAGAATATCCTGAAAAATCTCTGTGGCTTTTATAGCTGGTTTTAGACTGGAGAGGGGAGGCAGATTTGGTTTCGTAAGGATTCCTAATAGGTTGACAATGGGGCTGAATTCATTATTCATGTTACGGTGTCTCATGTCCTCTCCTGTTACTGTTGTTGTGAATGTTAACTGAGAACCATGTCTGGGAAAATGCTTTGTCAGCCACTTGTATCATTTAGGTATCCTGAAGCCAGAAACTGCTGTAACCTGGTGGTCTGAATACCTGGTCATCGTCCAGGCCTTGGCCTTAATTCTCTCTGTGACCTTGGCGAGCTGTGTCAGCCCTATGGCACAAAACCTCTGATGGCCCTGACAGCTTTGATCTCACTTTGACCTCATGGGTTTGAAGTGATTGTATGTATCTGAAAGTGGTAATACGGCTTTCCTTTAAAAATAGGACAGTATTCATTTTAGATCGTCAGGCTCAACCCGAAGGAAAGAGCTTTTATTGTACAATAAATGCTACTCTTGTAGAACGAAGGGAGAATAGGAGAAAATGACAAAATTAGACTAGTTAGTCAGAGGATCCAGCTTTAGAGCTGGAAGGACCTTAGCGGTCATGTAGTCCGCTACATACGAGGAAAGCCTTGAGAGTTTAGGTCACACAGGAGTAGCAGGTCAGGATGTGTAAGGTCGTTCTAGTTAGTGATTAGAAAAATTATATTTGGCTTCAGAATGCAGCCAGGAATATGCATAGATATTCACTTTAACCTGTATGCCCAGCCTTGGCTATAACCCTTTTGTCTTTACAACAAGCACCTTTCTAAAGAAGAAGAACATAGGATCATAAATCTAAAGTTGGAAGAGATCTTAGAAGTAATTTAATCCATCCTTTTATTTTTACAAATAAGGAACCTGAAGCCCAGAGAAGTTAGTTTATTGGTCCAAGGTCACAGAGGTAAGTGGCAGAGTCTGGATTTGAACTCCGGTCCTGTGATGCCCACATTCAGGTATCTTTCTACCATGTAATTCTACCTGGCAGGGGGCGTGAAGGTTACTTCTCTCTGCCCAATGAGAGATTTTGTAGGGGTGAAAAAAGATTGGCTTGTCATTCTAAAACAGAAGTAGGGAATAACCCTGCTTAAAGCACTCAGTTTAATTTCATCTAGTTCAGGGAGTTCTTAATCTTTTGAATATATCATGGATCCCTTTGGCAATCAGGTAAAGCTTATGGACCCCTTCAAAGAATGATGTTTTTAAATGCATAAAATAAAAGGAAGCCAATTTTATTGAAATACAGTTTTCAAATCAAGTTTATAGGCCCCAGGGTAAGAATCATTGCTCTAGTTAATGAGAGGAGTAAAAAAAAAAAAGCCTTATCTCTTTATCCTTCATCCCATAGCTGTGGAACTATAATATAGAATTGTGTTTTGCTGTAATAATTCTAAAATGCTACATGATTAGAATGTTGCTTCATGAAAGTTTGTCTACTTTTGTCTTCTCTTTGCTTTCTCATATCACTTCTGTGATTGTCACCTGCTTCTTTTTGTCTGACACCTTCCCCCTTACCTTTCTATGTTGCTTCTAAATAAAATTAGTCTTGATATAGAAATTGACTTTTGAAATACTTATTTATACTTTGTGATTGCCTAAAAAAATTTTATCTCTAAACTCATTTTGTAAAACAGTTTGTTCTTCATTCTAACAGGCAGCTAGGTGATGCAGTTGATAGAATGCTGTGTCTGGAATCAGGAAGACTTGAATTCAAATGCAGACACTTCCTTGGCTATATGACCCTACGCAAGGCACTTATCCTCTCTTTGCCTCAATTTCCTCAGTTTCAGAATGGGGATAATAATAGCACCTACCTCTCACACTTGTTGTAAGGATCAAATGAGATAATATTTGTAAAGGGCTTAGCACAGTGTTTGGCAGGTAGCAGGAGCTTAATAAATGCTTATTCCCTCCCCTACTTCCTTTTTCCTTTGCCACCCTTATCCCAGTATTCCCCTTCTGCCCCTAGTTCTACTTATTCCCTAGTCTTGAAATATAAAAATATCTAAAACCCACATTTATATTTTTTAGTTTTTTGGCTATGGGGAAACTGGTTAGTGTGTAATCAACAATAAATTAATGGGGAATGATTTTTTTTTTCCACTATCGGGTCAGTGGCTTCATAGAAAATAAAACTGGTTCCCACCTCTGTGTTAGAGATACTAGTTACTGTTCTTGCCCTAGCGGCAGGGAAAGGTCAGCCCTTCTACCCAGGTGGCTTTATAGGTGTTTTGGGAAGCATCATTTCCAGTCTAGGCATGCCCTAACTTGTCCTCTGAAGGTTTTGCTCCTAATAGGAAGCTGGGGTGGTAACATGCCAACAGTGACTTGGTAGTCACAACAGAAGGGCAGCAGATGCTTGGCATAGAAGGACCCTGCGATCAAAATCCTGACTTTGATCAGGATGGGTCTTAAAGTTTGTTTAATTTGGGCTCCACTTATGGAGTCCCCAGCTGATTCTGGGACCTGTACTAACCACTCTAAATGCAGGTAACAGAATGCTGTGTTTTCACCAGCAGCGTTGGAAGGATTTGGCAAAAGGGAAATTATGACTTCAGACTTCCTCAGAAAGTTGCTTTTTGCAGACAATGTTTGTGGCTTTAGAGTTCTTTTCATCTTTAGCCAAATTCTGTGACAGGTGGGAAGAAAGGGTAGACTGAATGGTAAGAAAAACTGCTCCTTTTTTCCTGTTCCTTTCCAGTTTCCTTTAGGGAGCTGAAAGCTGATGAGCCCTGAACTAAGGAGAGCAAGAAGCCTCTTCTCAATGGCACTCAGTGAAGAGAAGACTTTGGCAGAGAGGGCGACTGGAGCAGAGGCAGTGCTGGATGGGAGCGTGAAGCACCACGGAGGCTGGAACAGGCAGAAACTAGAGGCTGACTGCTCCGTGGGTCTGGGCAGCACGCAGCCTTTTCTGGATGCCAGTGGAGGAAAATGCAGCCCCCTGGGGGAGGAAGAAGAGCTGACCATCAGGAAGGCCAGGCCCGCCCACGTGGCTGCGGCTGGAACGTGGGAAAAGCACCACGCCCACAAAGAAGGCAGCTCGCTGACCTCAGCGGGGGGCTCCTTCATCCCGGGACCTGAACCTGCCTATCGCCATTTGCTTCCTGAAGACGGGACTGCAACAGCAACAGGAGACCTTTCGCTAGAAATAGGAGCCCAGGTAGGAAATGTTGCTTATGGCACATTGGATTTATAGATTACCTTTCTTTCAGACCACTGGGGTTTTTAGTCAGATACTGTTTTATCTGTTCACTCTCACCATTAGACAGGGTGAGATAAGAGCATAGATCCCCATTTTATGGATGTAAAAACTGAAATGTGATGAGGTCAGGTTATCCTTAGGTAGGTGATTGGCCCCAGAGGTCAGTAGCAAGGAAAGGTCAAAGTTAACTGTCATCTCTAAGATAGAACCCTGTGCACTGGATTACCCACCCTGCCCCGGTTGTGGACATGTGGGGTACTTCATCATTCCCTTGATTATGTCTTATTTCCCCACCCTCAGAAAACTACGTTGTACTTCTGTATGTACTTTTTATTTACTAGTCAAGGAGAATGTAAACTCCTTAAAAGGCAGGAGCTGGCTTGCTCTTGTATCTGTTTCTCCTGTACTTGAACCATGCCTGGCACTTAGTAAACACTTAATAAATGTTTATTGATTGATTGTTTTAGCATCCAGGGACCCAAGGCAAAAGTGGAGGTTATTTGTAAAATGGGGTTAATAATGATACTTGTAGTACCTGCACTACTAATGATACTAGTACTACCTCACAGGATGATGGTGGAGCTCAAATAAGAGACAGTAAGTGTATGTAAAATGGGCTTTCAGAATCTGACGTGCCATGTAAATATTAGCTGTCATTAGCTAGACCCTGAGAGACTGCTGACCCTTGGGTTCTGTTCTCTGGTGGCACAAGTTAAGGAGTTATAAAGGACATTAGGCCTTCATTTATCCCACTTCCACCCCCCTCAGACATGAAGCCAGGGAGCCAGCATCCCAGCTGGAAGAGAATCTTGTACTGTCATCCTAGGAAGCTTTTGTGGTTGGGCTGTGTACTCCGTCATACTCATGAAGAGAAGGCGGCACTTGATCAGAGTCTTGAGAAAAACCAGGAATTCCAAAAGATGGAGGTGAGGAAGGGGAGGGTGTTCTAGGCATGGAGGACAAAGCATGCAAAAGCCTAGACACAAGAGATACAGTGTCATGTATGAGTAATAGCAATAAAGCCAGTTTGGATGGATTGTAGAGGGTGAAAGGGACTAATGTGTTGAAAGTTTGCAAAGGTAAGTCGGGGTCAGGTTGTAAAGGGCTTTAAAGGCCAAATGGAGGAGTTTCTATTTCAACCTAGATGAATAGGAGCCACTGTAGTTTATTGAATAGGGAGGTGATATGGATAGATCTATGCTTTAGGAAAACCACTTTGGCAGTTGTGTGGAGGATAAAGGAGAGTGGGGGAAAACTCTTGGCTCAGAGACCCATTAGGAGGTAGTAGTCTTGATTAGAGATGATGAGAGTTAAAAGGACTAAGGTGGTGGCTCTTCCAGTGAAGAGAATGGTACAGATGCAAAAGATGTAGAGGGAGGTACGAGACAAGATTGGGCAACTGGTTGGCTATGTGGAATAAGGGAGAGGAAAACAGGGTTACCCAACCAGGTGACTCCAGGGGAAAAAGATAATGGGTTCTGTTTTAGACAGGTTGCATTTGAGATACTTTTGGGACATTCATTTTGAAAGGTCCAGTAGGTGATGCAGGACTGGAGCTCAGGAGATTGATTGGGGATGAAGATCTAGATGTTGGAGTCATCTGTATAGAAATGGTAAATAAGCCCATGGATACTGGTGAGATCACTAAGTGACAGAGTATAGAGAAAGAAGAAGCCTTGGATAGAACCTTAGGGTACTTTCTCTGGGTCTTTATTCATTCAGATATTTATCTTCCTTTTGGAATCAGTTGTCACTGTCCTGTGAAGAAATTCTGACCTCAAATATCAGAGAGAAGATAAAGGATCCATTCTAGCAAGCTGTCTGGAGTACCCTGGGCAAAGTTGTATGAAACACAGTAGATGGATTTCGAGGGCTCTCAGGCTCACAAGAATCAGAGATGTGGTATTGGAATTTAGTTAGTTCCAAGAACATGAGTTTAGCATTGTTTCTATCATTGGACTGTTTGAAAATGCTGAAGGAAAATTTTGAGATTCTCCTAATTTTTCCCTCCTTTTTATTTTTTCTTTTTTGGGGGGAGGGGGGTGAGGCAGTTGGGGTTAGTGACTTGCCCAGGGTCACACAGCTAGTGAATGTTATGTGTCTGTGACCAGGATTTGAACTCAGGTCGTCCTGACTCCAGGGCTTGTACTCTATCCACTGTACCACCTAGCTGCCCCTATTTTATTCTTAAGGAGTTTTTTTTGTTTGTTTTGTTTTGTTTTTTGTGAACCTTATCCTTACTGACATGGGTATTAATAGGAACTTATCAGTAACTTCATATCCCCTTCCTGTCTTTCTGAATTATATATTCACATCTATGTGTACTTAGTAATACTTCAAGGAGCTTTAATTTCAGCCAAGACCTCTTTCATTGACAAACTTTACTAAAGTATTCTTGAACTGCTGTAACTGAAGAATTCATCACCTTGTACATGATGATAAACTTTCTGAAGTTAGCTAGACTTGTCCTTCAATGACACAGACTTGGAATCCTTTCTAATTTGTGTAGGACCTCCATTCCATTGGCAGTAAGCTCCAGGAACCCAGGATCAGTACTCCAGAATGAGGCATTAGAGGAGAACTTACCTTAAAGTGGCATCAGCTAAGAGGCAGTAAGGCCTAGTGAATAGAGTGCTACTGGGATTTCAGAAACTTTTGAATTCAAATCCTTCCTCTAACACTTAATAGCTGTGTGACCCTGGCAAGGTCTCTTGCCATCTGTGCTTCAAGCACTATCTTATGATTTAGGTTGAATTAACCATTGGATTACAATCTAAGCCACCTCACAGGTCCTGCCTTTATCCTTTAAATAAATCTATTATTGGGGCAGCTAAGTGGCGCCATGGATAGAGCACTGGCCCTGGAGTCTGGAGGACCTGAGTTCAAATCTGGCCTCAGACACGTAACACTCACTAGCTGTGTGACCCTGGGCAAGTCACTTAACCCCAATTGCCTCACCCAAAAAAAAAAGCTATTATTTAGTGGTACTCCTTATTCTGCTTTTCCTTAGTCGGAGCTCTTTAATATTACCACAATCACAGCTCTTTGAAGTAATGAACTGTTATTTCATATGAGAGAGCTGAGTTATACACTGGTATTTGAACATGCAGTCAAAACAGAAGGAGAGTGTAGCTCTGCAGGATGCCTTCTCCTAGTCCTGGGATCACTATTAAGAAGATTGTTAGGTGGAATGATGCCCTTCCTACCCGAGACATTTCTCAAAGATTTTCTACCAAAAAAAAAAGGATTTATTCCATTTCAGAAGGGACGTGAATTTGGAATCAGTCGTTACTGGCCTATTTGGCTAACCCCCATCCTAAATGGGCAATCTTTGGTGTTTTGCCATTTTATCTTTTGGGAAAGAAATCCTTTGAAAGCTGTTTTCTCTATTCCAGGACAGTAGTATTGTGCTAATACCATTCATCAGATGAGTCTTACAGTTTGGGAATCCTTGAATTTTCCATTCTAAAGGGTTCTTTTCCCAAGTGAGGCCTTTTGGTTGTTATCCAGGTACCAAATAAAAGTTCTTGGCCCTGTTATCTTAGCACATTGCTTCAGTACAGTCACCTCTGTGGTTATATTTTTTCTTTGTCTTCCTTCCCTTTCTTCCTTCTTTACTACAGATGGAGGAGAAATTGTGTCTTGACTCTCCAGAGCTACTGCAGAATATTGCTGATCCTCTAGCCAGGACTCTCAGCTCAGGAGAGGTTGCTGATGATGAAGATGACTGCTCCAGTTTTGAATCCCCCCGAATCCATGGTCTGAGGCAACAACCTTACAGCTCCAGTTCTTCTTTCTCATTGAGGTGGAAATCTTTGCTGAACCTGGATTTATCTGCCCTTTCTCTTGCCAGCCACAGCTTTCCCACCTCACCTGCCCCAAATGGTTTCCTAAGGCAGAGAGAGGAAATAGGATCCCAAAGCCTGTGGCCTGCTAAAAGCTCTTCATTTGAGCCCACAGCCTCATGTTTACCATCTGGTTTATTGAGCTCTGCATTGGGCCCCTTGCTTCCAACACATGGAATGCCATGTCCAGCATCCCGCAGTGGTGAAGCTGTAGCTGAGGCGAGCAGGAGGCGGTCCTCTTTTCAGACTGATTACTGGGCCTGTGTGCTGCCGGATTCCCTTCCTCCATCTCCTGATCGTCACTCCCCTCTTTGGAATCCAAATAAAGAGTATGAAGACTTGCTTGATTATACTTACCCTTTAAAGCCCAAGGCCCAGCTTCCAAAGCATGTTGACAGCCATGTGCTGGCCGACACCTTCCTGCATGACTCAGGTGTTGACCTGGACAGCTTTTCCCTCTCACCTGAGAACACCCTGAAGTCCCCTGCTACTCTGTCCCATGACTGCCTACCAACAGAACCAGATGTTCATCTCCCTCCAGAACCCAGGAGCTGTGATGACAAGTTTTCTACTGTGGTGTCCCAGACCCAGGGTAGCTTCGGATTGGCAGCTTCTAGTCAATTTACATCTACTCCCAAGTCCAGTAGTAGACATGCTCTTCAGAATGACAAGGAGCAACTTCTAATGAACTTCAGGAAATCTCTACCTATGGGAAGATGCCTCGAGGTGCACTTGCCATCGCCTGGAGAATGGTCCCAAGGGAGTTCCTTTTCGACAATTACAGGAAAGAATGGTGGGAGTGGTGATCTCCAGTGTCTTTCCCATGAGGCTCCAGTGGAATCTGGGTGGAAAACACCAGAAGATATTGAAATTGAAGAAGAATATCTTGCTCTGCCCCCTCGGCTGACCCAGGTTTCCAGTCTGGCTCCATATCTGTCTACCATTCAGACACCTGATTCCCAGCCTTCTGTAGCCACTGAAGGGCAAGGTTTACCAGCTGCCTCTAGTGGTAAAGAGCCAGCTCCCCTTCTGCACCATAGCAAAAGGCAGTCTCCTACTTGGGAAGAATCCAGAGGGAAGTGGGGTCCTCTAGATAAGGATTGCTGTACCCAGACGCCCCACTCTCAGTTTCAAGAACTTGATAGGGAAGGTGATACTAACACATTGATCAGTCAGGACCCAGGAGGCCCAGCCAGCCGACTAAGGACAATTTCCTCCTTTAGGAAAATGCTTGGGGGGCTGGCTTATTCTGACTTGAAGCCAGAAGGGCAGCATCTGAAGAAAGAGAGGGACCAAGAAAGAGAATCCCTTCTGCAGTGTGTGAAGGTAAGAAAAAGAGAATTTATAGAGATTTGCACTTACTACTCCCCACCCCAATCCCCCAAATTAAATTATTGACTGAGTCAGAGCTAAGCTTTACTTTGTAGTGTAGCATGTGGTAGATGGTCTCAACTCTCACTGTAAGAGAGACCATTGTGATCCGACCCCTTAGTGTTGATTATAAAACTGGGGTTCTAGATCCAAGGACTTTATAATTTCAGTGCAGACTCACATGTTCCAAAAGTCAGATTGCTTCTTCTTGGTAGAGTGGGAGAGAGTATGTGAGCTGCCCCACTGGATTTCAGATACAGAAGCATGACTTCATGTGGTACATGTTACTTTGGAGGGCAGAGGGCATATGCAGGATTTCCTTTCTTGATTCTTCCTAAGGTCTGTCACTTAATAAAAACAATTTCTCGTATTTATGGAGAGCATTATACTTCACATAAATAAAACTCATCTGTTCAAAGGAGATAATGCTGAGCAAATAATATCTCCATTTTACAGTGAGGACACTGAGACATAAGAAAGTTGAAGTAGCTGACTGAACTAAGGCTACACCCAGGGACAGAGTCAGGATTCGAATCCAGGTCTCTTGAATTGTAGTGTAATAGAAAAAGCAATGAACTGAGACTCAGGAAACCCAAGTTGTAGCCTGAGTTCTGCTGGGGAGAAGTCACTGCACCTCTGGTGAATGACACCCTGTGAGGGCAGAGTATTTGTGACGCTAGGGAGTTGCTATAATGCAATTCTCAGGGCTTTGGTTTCTTATCTATAGAATGAAGCATCTGAATTAGATGATGTTCTGCATCTCTTTCGGCTCTGAGATTCTGTGACTTCTTAGTGTTCTGGTCCTTAGGTTTGTGAAGAAAGATAGAGGATGCAAGTTTTTGTTGTTATTTTCAGTAATGTTTTAAGGCCAGGGATGTTTGTAGCCATTTGTTTTAGGCTAACCTTTCTCAGCAGAAGTAATTTTTTAAAGTTAACATGCTAAAACAACCACACCAACTGATATTTTTCACAGGCAATATTGCGTTTTCTCAGTCTAGGTTAGCATCTCTTTTTCTAGGTATTAACCCAGATGGTAGAGGTACTGAACTGAAAGGTTAAATGTTTTTAAATGTCAATCTGATAGAGGCCTTTTGCAGGGCCGGGCTTCAGAAGTATAGGGAAGACATCAGGGAGAAATGAGGTCCGAGAATCATTATTCATACATTAAGTAACCTTGGAAAAAGCCCTGTGTCTGCAGTGAAAGAATAGTTGTCCTTATATTGGTATCCCTGAAACACAGATAAATAACAGTTATATTTGGCCTCAGTAGATATTTTGCTGTTACCTGGAGGAGCTCATTTGCTGGCTGTATAAAGTAGCTGAAGTTACAGACAACCTGATTCCACCAAAATCTAACCTTGCAAGTCTCAAGTCTTCCCTGCAGCTTTATCGGGTAAGTATAAAACCCCATGTGTTCCTGTACCATCTGGCCTCCATGAGGGGTGGTGGCTACGTTATTTGACATTAAACCTTTGTCTAAGTACTGTGAACCAAGAGTTCCCCTGGCCTGGCTGCTAGGAGGGAGCAATTTCCCTCTTCCTGCCAAAAGTAGAAAAAAGAAAGCTAATCTACTTAATGTGGAGCTCCTGGTTTTTTGGATTAGTAGCTCACTTTTACATAGCACTTTAAGGGTTACAAAGCACTTTCCTTACAACAACTTTGTGAAAAAGGCAAGGCAAATATTATTAGCCCAGTTTTCCAAATGAAGATAGTGAGGCTTAAATAAGGTAAAGCGATGCACTCAGCTAGTAAACATAAGAGCCAGGCACCGTACTGAGCCCAGGCATTTGTACTATCCGAAGCTGCCATCTCTGTTAATCATTATTAGTTGGATTACTTGATTTGTTTCCCTAGTGCTCTGTCTTGGTAAATTACTTCTAGACCTATGAGGGAAGAGTATTTGTTTTCTAGGAAATAAGGTAATTCAGCAAGGATTGTTTCGCTAAGATTCTTTCTGCAAATTGTTACAACCTTTGAAGTGTAGAATGCCTAACTGAGAGCTATTCCAGAGAGAGAAGCTGTTGTTTTATTTTGTCTGAACCTGGGCTCTGTCAAGTTGACTAAGCCAGGTTCCTGTTCCACCCTGTTCTTAGGGGTTTTCCCCCTTTGTTAGAGTTGAATGAAATGCAGTTAGTTGCATATCATACAAGGAAAAGGCATGGTGGGGAGTATGGGAAGTCTAAGCTGGTTCAGTCCTTCTGGAATGACCCACTTTTGATGGAGCTTGGGACTTACTCTGGGGCTAAACGTGTGAGGCAGGTTTGTCACGGAGGGTCAACTTAGAGTAAGATGGGATTGTGACAGAAATAATTAGAGGCTGCCTTCTATCTATGCCTCCAAAAGCCTGCACAAAGAAAACATGGTATAATGGAAAGATTCCTGGATCTGGAGTCAGAGGAACTAGGTGCTAATCCTGGTCCTTCCACCAGTGCAACCTTGGACAAGTGACTTAAATTCTCTTTGGCACATTTCCTCATGTATAAATGAAGGAGTTAATCTAGATGACAATCAGAGGTCCTTCCCAGCTCTAAATCTATGATCTTACTAAGTCTGGCTATGAGTTAGTAGTTAGAAAAACCTCCAGAGGAAATGCAGTGAATAACTTTTGTCTTACCTTGGTTAGCTAGTTGTCACAGTGGTCTGAGTGCTGGGTCGAGAGTCAGGAAGACTTGAGTTCAAATCTATCCTCAGATACTTAATAGTTTGTAACTCCAGATTAGTCATTTAACCTCTATTTTCCTCAGTTTTCTCAAATGAAAAATGGGGAAAACAGCACCAAAACAGCTCCCGCCTCACGGGGTTTTTGTAAGGATCAGATGACATAATATTTCTAGAGCGCTTTTCACAGTGCCTGGTACATAGCAGGTGCTATATAGATGCTTATTCCCTTCCCTTTCTCTCTCTCTCTGTAAGACCAAAGTCACCCCAAAACTAGGTGAGGCTGTCCAAGTAGCCTTTACCTGGCAAAGGGGAATGCCATGATTCTTCTCCCCTGCAGAGGTCCTTGGGTTTGGTGCCGTACTGTGGGGTCCTCAGATATTTACTCTTCCACTCTCCCAGTGGGGAGGTGATCTTCAATGCATTTTATTACAATTTGGAATAGTCTATGTGGAAGGGCATCCTTCCATGTCTCAAATAGAACTGTCTAAACCCCAGCACACAGAAAGTGTTGCCTTGTACCCACTGGTATTTGGGTAAGTTTTTTTTCCCCCAAAGCCAAGTTAATTAGAATTAGTTTTGCTTTGAGTTCATGAAAAATCTTTGAGACAATTTGTGATGTCCTGAGTTATGGGCACAGGGGGGTGAGGGGAGAAGGAGTGGGAATTTCTGCTCAAGACATTTGAAAGAGAGCAGAGATGGTGATACAAATGACTGTGGTGGATTTTGGGTCCAAATCCTGGCTCCGCTGCTTGTAACTCACCCTCTCCTCCTCTATAAAAATGAGGTTGGATAAGATGCCTTCTAGCTCTAAATCAGTGGTCCTCTGAAAGACTACCTCAAACTACCTTTGAGCAGTACTCTGCCATTGAGACAATCTCGTTCGATCATCAAGCAGGTGTTCTCTAGCAGACGACGGTAAAGTTTGTCTCATGTTTTTCTAAATCTCAAAGACTCTTTGATGTTAAGCAAAGACGTCAGAAGCTTTTGGGATGGGGGTTTTATTTATTCTTCATCTTAGAGCTTAATATGGTTACTTTGTATTATTTTAATTGGGGGGCACTTTTTCTTATAAAACTTAATAAATTATGCTTATAAAATGTTCATTTTTCTTTATCCTGATACCATTTTCAGCAATTTAAAAAAGACATAGCTGAACACCAATCCCTGACTGAGAGTGTCTTACAGAAAGGGGAAATTCTGCTCCAGTGCTTGTTGGATAACGCATCAGGTGAGATGTTTGATATTTTGCTTCATACATACTATAGCTAATGTCATTCTTCTCTCAAGAAAGCGGTATCTAGAACTGATATGTGCTCTGTACAGAGATAAGAAACCTATATTGTACAGACCCTAGATCATATGCCATTAGATTCACATTAACTCCCCTTATGGTAGCTAAACATCTGTACTACTCATCTTTCCCTTGCACTTCTTAGCTGTTGCTTAGTCTTTCCACTTAAAAACATAAAAATGTATCTTTGCTTTGGCCCTGAAAATGGGAAATTGAAGTTCTCTGCCAAAATGGCAGAGTAAGTGACTTGCTTGAGCTTTCCCCCCAACCCCTCCAAATACCTGTAAAAAATTACTGTAATCAAATCCTTGAGCAGCAGAACCCACAAAAAGAAAGAGTGAAACAGATTTCCAGCCCAAGACAACCTGAATGGTTGATACGGAGGGTCTATTGCACCAGGCTGGGATAGGAACACAGTTCAGCATGGGCCGCAGAAGCAAAGACAGGGCCAGAGGAAACCCAGAACAGGCCTCAGAGGACTGAATCACGGGAAGCTGTGACGGGGTTTTGAGACTTCTCAACCCTCAAATGCCAGACAACTTAGAAGATCAGTGGTAAAGGTGTGTTGGACCTGGGTGAGAGAGGAGCGCAGTCCGTCCTTGGCCCTAGCGCAGCCCCGGGGAAGTGGCCACAGCAAGCAGCGATTGCTTCCTCAGCTCTCAGCCCACAGATGGTGGGGGAATCGAGTGGCTGATCAGAGGGGGACTGTAGGAAACTCTTTGCTGGTGCTGAGACAGGATTCTCTTGCTTTGCCCATACTTGGATCTAGATCACAGTCTTGGGTGATGGTCCTGGGGCGAGGAGGAGCACTGGCATAGCAGAACTTGTGGCAGCAGTGGAGAGGGAACCCTCTTCACAGTTCCAAAACAGAAAAGAGTGCTTGTGGTCACTCATAGAGCAGAACACAGGCCAGGAAAAGCATAAACACTTCTTCTTTGATCATACTACCTTGGAAGAAGTGAAACCTTACAGGTCCCTAGAAGTATCTCTGAAAATAGCTGCACAAAACCCCTGAAGCTTGGGACTGTACACACTCCACACTGGAAGCAGAGCCCTACCTTAACAAAGAGGAAAAGTTAAGTAATTGTCTGGGAACATGAGCAAACAGAGGCAAAAAACTCAAGACTATAGAATCTTACTTTGGGGACAAAGAAGATCAGAACATACAACCAGAAGACAACAAAGCCAAAGCTCCTTCATCCAAAGCCTCCAAGAAAAATATGACATGGTCTCAGGCCATGGAAGAGCTCAAAAAGGATTTTGAAAATCAAGTAAGAGAAGTAGAGGAAAAATTGGGAAGAGAAATAAGAGTGATGCAAGAAAATCATGAAAAATGAGTCAACAGCTTGCTAAAGGAGACCCCCCGAAAGAATACTGAAGAAAATAGCACCTTAAAAAATAGGCTAGACCAAATGGCAAAAGAGGTCCAAAAAGCCACTGAGGAGAAGAGTGCCTTAAAAAGCAGAATTGGCCAAATGGAAAAGGAAATCCGAAAGCTCACTGAAGAAAATAATTCCTTGAAAATTAGAATGGAGTAAATGGAAGCTAATGACTCTATGAGAAATCAAGAAATTATAAAACAAAACCACAAGAATGAAGAAATAGAAGACAATGTGAAATATCTCATTGGAAAAACAAATGACCTGGAAAATAGATTCAGGAGAGAGAATTTAAAAATTATTGGACTACCTGAAAGCCATGATCAAAAAAAGAGCCTAGACATCATCTTTCAAGAAATGGTCGAGGAAAACTACTCTGATATACTAGAACCAGGGGGTAAAATAGAAATTGAAAGAATCCACCAATCACCTCCTGAAAGAGATCCCAAAAGGAAAATCCCAGGAATATTATAGCCACATTCTAGAATTCCCAGGTCAAGGAGAAAATATTGCAAGTAGCCAGAAAAAAACAATTCAAGTATTGTGGAAGCACAATCAGGATAGCACAAGATTTAGCAGCTTCTACATTAAGGGATCAGAGGTCTTGGAATATAATACTCCGGAGATCAGAGGAGCTAGGATTACAACCAAGAATCACCTACCCAGCAAAACTGAATATAATCCGTCAGGGGCCAATGAAATAGAAGACTTTCAAGCATTGTTTATGAAAAGACCAGAGCTGAATAGAAAATTTGACTTTCAAATACAAGACTCAAGAGAAGCATGAAAAGGTAAACAGGAAAGGGAAATCATAAGGGACTTACTAAAGTTGAACTGTTTACATTCCTGCATGGAAAGATGATATTTGTAACTCATGAGACCTTTCTCATTATTAGGATAGTTGGAGGGAATATATAGACAGAGGGCACAGGGTGAGTTAAATATGAAGGGATAATATCTAAAAATTAAAATTAAGGGATGAGAGAAGTATACTGGGAGAAGGAGAAAGGGAGAAGTAGAATGGGGTAAAGTATCTCACATAAAACAGACAAGAAAAAGTTTTTACAGTGGAAGGGAAGTGGGGGAAGATGAAAGGGAATGAGTGAATCTTACTCTCATTGGATTTGGCTTAAGGAGGGAATAGCATACACACTCAATTGGCTATGGAAATCTATCTTACCCTACAGGAAAATAGGGAGGAAGGGAATTGGGGGGGGGGATGATAGGGCAGATTGGGGAAGGGGACATTCAGAAGCATACACTTTTGAGGAAGGACAAGGTCAAAGGAGAGAACAGAATAAATGGGTGGGCTAGGATGGAGGGAAATATAGTTAGTCTTTCACAGCATGACTATTATGGAAGTGTTTTGCATGACTACGCATGAATAACCCATATCGAATTGTTTGCCTTCTCAATGAAAGTGGGTGGGGAGGGAGGGAGAGAATTTGGAACTTAAAAGTTTTAAAAACAAGTGTTAAAAATTGTTTTTACATTCAACTGGGAAATAAAATATACAGGCAAAGGGGTATAGAAATCTGTCCTGCCCTACAGGAAAATAGAAGGGAAAGGGGATAAGAGAAGAGGGGTGGGGAGTGATAAAAGGGAGAGTACAGTGGGGGATGTGGCACTTAGAATACGTGCCATCTTGGGGTGGGAGGAGGGAAACGATGGGGAGAAAATTTGGAACTAAAAATTTTGTGGAAGTAAATGTTAAAAACTAAAAATAATTAATAAAAAAAAGAAAATGGGAAATTGAATCTGTTGTTAACAGTATTTGATGATTATTTTTTGTCCACTGGAAGCTCATTTTTTATAGGAGCAGGTACGGTTATGTAAGGGCAAATAATTTATGTCTTCAGCCTACAGATATACAGGTACTTAATAGAAGAGGGGGAGGATGATGAGTGTGTATATGGTGGCTGTGGAAAATATGGGACCAACTGCTGCCAGTTTTATGGACCAAGTAGAATGTTTACTTTTTAGAGTCAGGGTCTGTAAAAGAATAAAAAATGGACCTAGAGGTTTAAAAGAACATTTGATCAAAAAAAGGATTTTTATACTCAGCATTGTTCTAGGCTGTGTTGGAGTAAACAAAAGTATGAACCCTGATCCCAGCCTATAAGAAGCTTACAGTATAATTGGGGATATAAATACATCCAATACAAGGGAACCTTCTATCTCCTGAGGCAATCCATCCTATATATGAATCATTCTAATTTTTAGAAAGTTCTTTCTTTTTTCTTTTTTTATAAGTTTGTTGTTCCTTTTTTTTTTCTTTTTTTGGTGAGGCAATTGGGGTTAAGTGACTTGCCCAAGGTCACACAGCTGGTAAGTGTCAAGTGTCTGAGGCCGGATTTGAACTCAGGTCCTCCTGACTTCAAGGCTGGAGCTCTATCCACTACACCACCTAGCTGCCCCTAGAAAGTTCTTTCTAATATAAAGCCTACATTTTGCCTATAATTTCCATCCATTACTACTAGTTCTGCCTAGTTTGCTGTTGGTAAAGCTGAGAAGTCAAATCCCTTGTCTTTAGACTCCAAGTCTAGTGCTCTTTCCATCTCACATACTGCTTCCCCAATAGACCAACGAGGCTCAGTTATTTAGTCTGTCGCCAAGCATTTCTTGGCCCCTACTATATGCTGGGCACTTTGCTAACCACTAGGGATACCAAAAAAAGGGCAAAAAGACAGTTCCTGTTCTCAGGGAGCTTACATTGTAATGGGGAGACATTATACAAACAAATGTGTATATACAAGATGCAGGATAAATTGGAGATAATCAACAGAAGAAAGCCACTAGCATTAAGAGGGATTAAGAAAGGCTTCTTGTAGAAAGTAGTATTTTAGCTGGGACTTGAAGAAACCTAGAGGAGCCAGGAGGCAGAAGTGAGGAGAGAATTCTAGGTAAGGAGGATAGCCTGTGAAAATACCTATGGCCAGGAGAAAGTGTGTCTTGTTTGAGGGACAAAAGGGAGGCCAGTGTCACTGGATTGCAGAGTATGTGGGAGTTTGTATGGTGTAAGAATACTGGAAAGGTAGGAAGGGGCCAGGATATGAAGGGCTTTCGACCTCAAGCAGAGAATTTTATAGTAGATCTTGAAGGTAATAGGGAGCCATTGGATTTAACTGAATTTGGGAAGTGGGGGTGAGCCGCCGGTAACATGGTTAGACCTGAACTTTGGGAGGATCAGTTTGACAGCTGAGCAGAACATGAATTAGGGCAGAGAGACCAACCATCAGGCTATTGCAGTAATCTAGGTGTGAGGTGATGAAGGCCTACACTAGAGACATGACAGCATCAGGTGAGAGGTTACTGAGTGATGGTGTTAGGAGGATCACATGGAAATGGCAGTGAGGGGTAAAGATTATTCCAACTTGGGTTGAATGAGTGAAAGTGCAACCAGTCCTAAGGGAGTGTTATGTCTCAGCTAGATCTAGAAGGTGCAGGAAAGGAAGGGAAAATATTAAATATAAAAGTAAAAAATAAAGAATACATATTTAAGTGATTGTTGAAGCTCAGAGGAGGAAGTACAAGTCTGTAAGGATTGGCCTTGTCAGA